AAAAAGAAAAAGGAGAAGAATTACTTCATTTAATCTTCACAACAAGACTACAAAGTGAATACCACAATTATCTCTTTCCAAGATAAGGCGTCTGAGGTCCAGAGAGGTACAGTCACTTGCCCAAGGGCACACAGTACTAAGTAGTAAATCTGGAATGAGAGGCTCCCTGAAAGCAACCCCAAATTTCTATCCTTTCTTGATGGTTTGCTACTTGAAACAATTAATATTGTAGAGTCTTGAATCCTGTTACGTCAACTCCAGAGTCTCCTTTCTCTGAGCCTTTTTATTAGACTTCTTTCTCCATCCCTAATTTTACAGATGAGCACATTTTATCGATGTGAAAATGAAGACCTATAAAGACTGTCCTATTTCCCAGGTCATATAACCAACTCCATGTGTGGTCCTGTCAAAGTGCCCTGACTTCTTTCGAATATGGTTTTTCTCATTTGAGTTGCAAAAATAAACCCATCTGCCTTGTAGCCATTAACATTGAAAGAAGAAGAGCCATCCAAAGGGTTGGGTCCTCATCGCCCTTGCCTTGGAGAAAGCTCTAAAGAGAGGGAAGGATGGTTTCCAGCAGTCCCTGAAGTGACTTTCCTCCTTTGTAGGATCCAGTTACACCCAGCAGACTTCAGTTTGAATAAACAGAACTGGATGAACACACCTAGGGAATCTTTGAGGCCAGCCTCAGTTTTTAACATCCAGCTACAGGGAGGTGAGAGAAGCTTCAGCCAGCTATTTCCTAAAAGAGAGATAAAGAAACCACCCTCCAATTATGCAGCAAATTCAGCTTCACAGTTGAATAAGGGGCATGAAATCGGATGTTTTTCAAGCTCAATATAAAGCAGTGGAAAACCTACCTCCCCTCTCCCCCATAAAGAACATCTAAACGCACGGCATTTAATTTCCGAATTGGGCAATGTTCTTTTTAAGGGAAATGTTAAGCAGGGATTAGAGACATGATGGGCTGTGTAACTCTATCCTCAGCCCTTTCATTGTTAATAGTATTTTTTTTTTGGCAGCGTCTGTGCAGAGATGTGGGAAAAACCAAAGTCTTATGTAAATGAGAATCGACACACGCTGATAAACCAAACGCCAGACCTGAGGTCTTAATTACACAGGAGTCTAGATGTCAAAATGAATGCAGCTTATTGACGTTCAGAGATTTCACTCAGCATTAAGTTGGACGACCTTCTTCCGGGACCAGAGAGCAAAGCGCTGGTTTCTCATTACCCAGGACCGTGTTCACAAATGGCAAAGAGCTGTGTTCATGCCTAGACACTTTTCTGGGGGGAATATATCCCTGAACCACAACACTTAACACTTGCTCACAATGGGACAAGCAAAACAAGATGTTTTCAGGTGTGGGCCAAACCACTGCTAATTGACCAAGGGCTCTTCTGAGCAGAGGTCCCTAACTGCACCCTCTCTCTCCACTTAGCCCCTACCTCCATCATGCCTATTCTTGTGGTCTCATTCATTGCTTCTAAGGCATTGCCATGGGCACTATCTCAACTTCAACAACAAATACTCCGGTGAGATACATAAGAGCATTAGTTGTCACTTTTTAATGTCAAGAAACAGAAGTCAATAATTACTAAGCATTTATGTTGCTGAAGATGAGAACACTTGGCAGCTTGGGCAGCTCACAAAGCAGCTCCTGGTAGACTAGGTTTACTGGCCCATAGCTTTATTCGTTAGTTGAGACTATGGCTGTTATCCTAAGCGGCACAGGCTCTGTTTTTAAAGGGAGAGAAGGCTACTTTCAGGCTTGGGCATAACCAAACAGTGCTCAGTGGGAGTCAGGTTCTTTGCCTTGAAATAGAAAAATAATACACCCTTTCCCTCCACCTCCACTAATTAAAGTGTCAGGATGGAGCCCCAACACTGACTTGACACATGACATGATGTCTCGTGTAATTGGACGTGTTTCACGCTAACATCAAAGCCTCGTCAAGGATGATGGAGCGAGATGTTTAGTGCATGCCTGTTGCAGTCTGACATATAACTCCATCCAGCTTCATTCACAGGCTCTCACTCACCAGGAGATTAACCCACTAGGCTGCCGAGTGAGAAGGGACAGAGCAGGCCCTGACGGGAGGCCTGGGATGCAGGGGAAATCAAAACAAGTCCACCTGCTTAAGGAGGACTGCTGCACTGTGACCTCGTCCTCCAGACATCTGTGGCAAGTGTTTCCACAGCCACTGATGTGGCACTGGGCCATTGACAGCTGCCTTATGATATTCTTTTTCACAATTGTGTTTACACTATTGTTTAACAACTTTGTATAATAATCTCTTTTCACTCCAAATAAACCTTAGTGCCTGGAAGGCCAAGAGTATCTTCGGTATGTGTCTATCCTAGTAAGCTTCTCGAATGATAGAGTTTTTTTGTTTTTTAAAAAAATTTCCAATCTCTCATGTGCCAATACTTTTGTATAATTAAAATGTCAGAAAAATGAACATGGACTAGAATGTTTTAGTAGTGTCAAATGACTATAAATGTGTCTAAACGTTTAATGTCAATTTCTCGTCATAGACGAGTAACACACAGTTTGCTAACTGGTATGGGTCTATGGACCTCATTTGATTATCATTAAACCAGAACAACTAGAATGCCTGGTACAATAGGGAACAAAGAATATCTTCTCAATATGGAACTGCTGATCAAATATGTGTGAGTATGAATTATAACATATATACACATATTATAATGTACATATGTAGAATACATTTCACACTAAATACTGGTATATGCACATACATTCAATCCAATTATACTTTATACCACATTATATGTGTAAATAAGAAGATGGGGTCACAAAAGGAAGACCTATACCTAGGTTTTTTAAAAAGTGCATTAGGTAACGAGTTGGCACCATGACACACTCTATGGGAAGGTACAGGTGGACGGGGAAGAATGACTGAGCAGTGCCTATCCTGTGCTCCATGCTGTAATTCTCCAAGCTTGGTGTGGGACTGGTGCTCACACCCATATTTACCCAAGAAGCAATGAAGCTCACTGAGGCTATGCAATTTGCCAAGGTCACTCTGCTATTTAGTGATGGAGATGGGATTCAGGTACAGGACTGTCTGGCTCCACAGCCTGCGTTCTGTGGCACCACATGAGTTCAGTGGTGTCACAGGGAACTATGCTTTGTTCATATTACAGAGAGTATGAAGAGAATGGATGTGTTCCTACCTCCCCCTCCAAGCAAAGACCACCATAAAATAGTCACGATGCGCTGGCCTGGGAAGGTTTTGAGTGAGAACAAGTCCAACTGATGAACTTCTAGGAAAAGTTTACTCCCTCCTAAGAAAAAAGCATGGAGAAAAGATGACCTCCTTCTTCAGCTGGAGATTGAAACATTGGGATAGGATGGCCAGGACATCCCCCAGCTATTTTAGACCCAGTTTGAGGATGGTGTTGCACACTGGGAAAGGGAGCACACCAAGATGACCACGAAGAAACAGAGGAAGTACATTACCCTAAGGGGTACAGGCTCTGCATTTAAAGAGAGAGGAGGCTACTTTCAGGCTTGGGCATAACCAAACAGTGTTCAGCGGGAGTTAAGTTCTTTTTTATTTTTCTTTTGAGATGGAGTCTCGCTGTCGCCCAGGCTGGAGTGCAGTGGCCCGGTCTCGGCTCACCGCAAGCTCCGCCTCCCAGGTTCACGCCATTCTCCTGCCTCAGCCTCCGGAGTAGCTGGGACTACAGGCATCCACCACCATGCCTGGCTAATTTTTTTGTATTTTTAGTAGAGACGAGGTTTCACTATGTTAGCGAGGATGGTCTCAATCTCCTGACCTTGTGATCCGCCTGCCTCGGCCTCCCAAAGTGCTAGGATTACAGGCGTGAGACACCGCACCCAGCCAGGAGTTAAGTTCTTTGTCTTGAAATAGAAAAACAATATACCCTTTCCCTCCACCACCGCTAATCAAAATTTTAGGATGGAGCCGCAACACTGACTTGAGACATGACATGATGCCGCGTGTAATCAGGACATCTTACAGCTGGAGCATCTCCTATCGAATGACTCCTTATTACGTGACACAGTACATTGTCTTATTAAAACAAATTCAAACAGGGATTGTTCTGTTACTTGCAGCCAAAGGCACCCTACCTAATGCAAGCTCCTCAGGGCACAATACAATACTGAACTTCACTATCCTGTTTAACAAAAGCCAATGTTTGATTCACATTGTTGAGTCAGAATTTCGAAGGACGCTATCATTTAGCGTATAGCAGCAACCATATAGCAGCAACATATATTTTTGAAATCACAATTTAAAATAAAATTTAGATGCCATGAGACCACTGAGATGAGACATAAAGAGTTTAACTTGGAAATAAAAAAGCCCTCACAACATGTAATGTAATTCCTACTGACTACATTCAGGGTTTCATTCAACTTCTGGGACAGAGTATATCAAGGCATGTGGAATCACAGCCCATCAGCTCTGTTTAGGCATTCCCCTGCTTCTTCCTGCATGTTTACACAACTTTAATACTTTTCTATATTGGCTCAATAAAGCATTTTTCTACTGAGATGGCATTGCTCGTCTGTATTTATCCCACAGTGAGGAGGCTAAGTTATCTTAACAGTCCATTTTGGTAACTGTAAAGCTGACAAAATTGTGCATAAACAGCTCAAATATTTCTCAGGAAATAAAACTGGAAAGAAGAGGCCCTTGTTTCAACCATTTAAGACAGTCTTGCATATTTAGAGATTAAGGATAAGGTGTGGGTTTCTTCTTTCAGCTAAAATCTCATCCCCACCCTGCCCTTGACAACTTAATTTCCTGTCCTCTTTGGGAGACAGACGGATGAATATTTAGAGTAGAACATGATTGTGATTAAGCTTCCAAATGTATCTTCATCTGGATTCCAGCTGGTGTGGCATCTCAATTACTCCTCCATTCCCCTATGGAACTGTCTTATTGATGTAGTAAGCTTAGCATGATGGCACTGGATTAAAAATCTCCTAGGACTCTCCAATCTTCTCACCTCAATCAATTATCCCTTAATGAAAGGAAAAAAAGGTCTTGTGCATATACACTATGACCTGTAGAATCCTACCAATAGGCATCAGGCCATTGCTGATTAGCTACCCATAAAGAGCAACAATCTTTCTTAGAGCTGGCTCATTTCTCCTACTCCCCACCTCTGCAAATGATGATCAATGCATGAATGTGAGACTGATAAACTCTGAAGAAGGCAGTGATTCATACATGTACTATCAATATAATATGAAGAGAGTTGCAAAAATGTTCAGCAGCCCACAATTTGTTTACTGGATGAACATTCCACATTTGTCACTGTTTCCATGATTCCTAGTATCATATGCCCAAACTCTGGTAGGTTTCAGAAGTACAATATCATTCAGATCAATTCTGATACCTGGAATATTCACCTAATATTTCTTCAGTAACACTTCTTTTGAGACATAGCCCCAACTACTTTACATGGCTTTGTCATTCATTTGCTCATTTATTCGACAAACATATACTGAGCACTTAGGCTGTATGCTGAGCACTGGGGGTAAAGATGTGAACAAGACACAGTCCTTGTTCTCATGGATCTCAATCTAGTAGAGGTGACAAACATTCACACAGGTCATCACAACTGAGTATGATGAGTGCCGGATGGAGCTGAGTACCAGATACTATGGGAGTACAGCAGAGTGGCATCTATCATGGATTTGGGTTGACAGGGAGACAGCAGGGAGGGCTGTTCAGAAGGCTGTTCAGAGTTTTTCCTCTTGTCTATTACATTTACAGTGTTCTCAGCACTTACACTAAAGCTTCTATAGAAGAATTAGTCCTACAGTGCCTGTCCTTCCTTCCTTCTGAAATGTAGTTATATAAGTAAATGTCAGATATTCTTCAATTCTGATAATATAATGAAATGTTGGGAAAGAAAGGCAGGCTTAAAGCTATTTTCTACTTTTTTTCTGCTACAAATACATATTACAGGAGTTCGAAGAATGGAAGCAATCTGTGTAGATTGGAGTATTTGGGAGATGCCTCAGAAAATAAACAGACTGAGTTTGCTCTCTAAGGCGAACAATGAAGTCAGTGCTTTCCACTTCTGTTAGACAGGACCCTATTTCCAGCAATCAGACGCATGAAGATAGTTCCTCTTAGGAACCCAAGTGGATAGGTATAGGGCCCCAAGATCCCTTCCTGGAAATGAATAGGAAAAAATAAGCTATTGATCTCCTCCCTCATTTAAATATTACAGTTCTAAAAAAGGCACTTCTCTGTAAGAGTGAAGTATACTTCTCCCACCTGTCTTCTTGGTTTGATGATTGCATGTATAGTGCTGTACACAGGGCATAGGCAAGGAAAATGGAAGAGGAAGAGTGGATATCGTAGAACAGTCCGGTTCATAATGGTCTGTTGGAGAATTCTCAAACTCCCCAGAATCACACTTCCAGACAGTGACAAACAGAGCTCCTCAATACCTTCATACAGAAACACTTTAATCACCCTACACATTAGGAAAAGAATCCTGAGAAACGAGAAGAGGTTGGAAAGGTATCTTGGAGTTCCAAGAACTCACGAAAAATTAATCTAACCCTCAAAGTCAGCACCAGTAAGGACTGTTCTACGTAACAAAAAGTTCTCAGCTGCATTATTTAAAACATTGCTTTGGACTGACCAAATAATTTCAAAGGCTCCACTCTTTGCATTAGATGTTATTAAAGACGGATGTGCTAAAAGGGTCCTCTCTATCAAATCCGCTGCCCATCTGCTCTCCCAGGGTTATAACTGAGATCCTTATTACAGTGAGAGCACTTTTCCTTTCAATTTAACCTAAACGTTTTTGTGAGATTTCCCTTCAAAGCCTGATGGAGAACGAGATTAGTGATATCAGCCCTGTTCTCCCAGGAGCCACTAGCTCCTTTGACTCAGAGACCTTGGAGCTCCCTTATACACCTACAGTCACATCAAAGGGGCATTTTGTTGTTTGTTTGTTACACCAGCATTTGCCAACCCGAGAATCAAGCTGTTTTTTAAGTAGAGGCAAGAGATGGGGGTGCTGGGCTTGGGATTCTGAACAGGTGTGTAACATTTTAAGAAATCCTGTTATTCAAAAATAAGCTATAAAAACAAGGAAAACTGGAAATGATCTGTCTATTTACAAAAGAGGGCTCACTATGGGCTTCCTTAAAAATCAGCTCCCTAATCTAGTTAATGTTTCATTATCCATAAAACAAACGGGTGTTTACTTGCAACATTTTTGGAATACATCAATTATTTATAGAATGAGACCTCTTTCGTACTACTACTAATGGCTTCCTTTATTGAATGCCTCCTATTTATGT